CGAATAATTTATGAGAATTGGCCACCGATTACCCACTTTTGGGATAATCGCAGAGTCAATCCAACCTCAGTGTAATGGTTGAATCTCGTCCGCGGAGAACCGCCTTCTTGATCACGGTATCTCCTGTGCCTGTGTTAATAACGCAGTCTCCCCACTATCAGAAATTAGACACCGATTTACCCACTTTTGGGTAATCGCAGAGTCAATCCAACCTCAGTGTAATGGTTGAATCTCGTCCGCGGAGAACCGCCTTGTTGATCACGGTATCTCCTGTGCCTGTACAGTGTAACTTTCCGTTGTTGTATTTGTCGTTATATGCTGAAGAATGTTTACTGATAATGGTGTGTATTTTATATTAACATCTACAATTTTTTAAAACAATGCCCTCTGTTAAAATAATTTTTTCATTCAGATATCATTTTATGTTGCAAAACTTGCTAAATGTTGCAAAAACTTGCAAGCTAAAACGGTCCTATGCGAACAAATAGCAAGTTATTTCTGATACACTAAGTCTACCGAATAAATTTATGAAGAAATTGGCCACCGATTTACCCACTTTTAGGGTAATCGCAGAGTCAAACCAACCTCAGTGTAATGGTTGAATCTCGTCCGCGGAGAACCGCCTTGTTGATCACGGTATCTCCTGTGTCTGTACAGTATAACTTTCCGTTGTTGTATTTGTCGTTATATCTAGATAATACTGATAATGGTGTGTATTTTATATTAACATCTACAAACTTTTTAAAACAATGCCCTCTTTGTTAAAATAATTTTTTCATTCAGATATCATTTTATGTTGCAAAACTTGCTAAATGTTGCAAAAACTTGCAAGCTAAAACGGTCCTATGCGAACAAATAGCAAGTTATTTCTGATACACTAAGTCTACCGAATAAATTTATGAAGAAATTGGCCACCGATTTACCCACTTTTAGGGTAATCGCAGAGTCAAACCAACCTCAGTGTAATGGTTGAATCTCGTCCGCGGAGAACCGCCTTGTTGATCACGGTATCTCCTGTGTCTGTACAGTATAACTTTCCGTTGTTGTATTTGTCGTTATATCTTGATAATACTGATAATGGTGTGTATTTTATATTAACATCTACAAACTTTTTAAAACAATGCCCTCTTTGTTAAAATAATTTTTTCATTCAGATATCATTTTATGTTGCAAAAACTTGCTAAAAACGCCATTGGTTGGTATGATGAAATTTCGTAAATTAACCGGTCCTATGTGAACAAATAATAAGTTATTTCAGATACATTAGTGCTACCGAATAAATTTGAAGAAATAGGCCACCGATTTACCCACTTTTGGGATAATCGCAGAGTCAATCCAACCTCAGTGTAATGGTTGAATCTCGTCCGCGGAGAACCGCCTTCTTGATCACGGTATCTCCTGTGCCTGTGTTAATAACGCAGTCTCCCCACTATCAGAAATTAGACACCGATTTACCCACTTTTGGGATAATCGCAGAGTCAATCCAACCTCAGTGTAATGGTTGAATCTCGTCCGCGGAGAACCGCCTTGTTGATCACGGTATCTCCAGTGCCTGTACAGTGTAACTTTCAGTTGTTGTATTTGTCGTTATAAGCCGAAGAATGTTTACTGATAATGGTGTGTATTTTATATTAACATCTACAAACTTTTTAAAACAATGCCCTCTTTGTTAAAATAATTTTTTCATTCAGATATCATTTTATGTTGCAAAAACTTGATAAATGTTGCAAAAACTTTGCAAACGGTCCTATGCGAACAAATAGTAAGTTATTTCAGATACACTAGTGCTATCTTTTAAATTTATGAAAAAATTTAATTATTTTAATATAGCCATTTTATCAAACAGAAATTTTTATCTTATCGCTCAGAACAAATTTTCTGTTTAAAAAAATAAATTTTAACTTTTGTTTAGAATCGTTTTAAGATAATGAAATAATCTTTTTTAATAATCTTAATCTTACACATCTTTTTTAACCTCTTCCTTATTGAGAAGAAATTTGGTCAGTAAGTAGGGAAAAAGTGTACTATTTCTGATTTAATTTTATAAAAAAATTAAACTTAACCTGTTATTACCTAATCGCTAATTGTTATACAATAAATTCCAAACACGCATTAAGTTTTGTGATTGTAAAACGTTGGTTTAAAACATTCCCATCTATTCAGATTGTCATATCTACATCATCAGTCGAGACGTATGATTGTCATATCTACATCATCTTGACAAAAAAAGACAAGAATGACGTTAACAACAAATTTTATTTTTTAATTGGTGATTAGGGAAATAGCGCGAACGCAGTCTCCCACTATCAGAAATTAGACACCGATTTACCCACTTTTGGGTAATCGCAGAGTCAATCCAACCTCAGTGTAATGGTTGAATCTCGTCCGCGGAGAACCGCCTTCTTGATCACGGTATCTCCAGTGCCCTCAGTTCATAACTTTTCGTTGTTGTATTTGTCGTTATATGCTGAAGAATGTTTACTGATAATGGTGTTTATTTTATATTAACATCTACAAACTTTTTAAAACAATGCCCTCTTTGTTAAAATAATTTTTTCATTCAGATATCATTTTATGTTGCAAAAACTTGATAAATGTTGCAAAAACTTGATAAATGTTGCAAATACTTTGCAAGCTAAAAACGGTCCTATGCGATCCGAGTTCAAATCTCGGCGGAACCTAATTATTTTTTACAGTGAATATTCTCTAACAATTGAAATCAGCTGGTTTAATTTTAAATGACCGCCTTTGTTATGCATTTGATTTTTAGTAATACAATTTAATCTTGTTATGAAAAATTTTCTTCTACTCAGCCATTTCAAAGGAAGATATTTATGATCTCCATGACCGGACTAACTGATGTTAATGTTATATGACTGTCAGGGGTCTATAGTTTGGGAGATGTCGATTCTGCTCCTAATCCTGTCACATGTTTCTACTTATTTTGTTATCACATTCTATTGATACTTAAATGATTTAGCAAGTGTGATTTTGGTGTCTCATTTGATCTTGCCAATCAGAAAGACTTATTCGAAAAACTGAATTTTTTAGTTAGACACCATTCAGATCTGACTGAAGAAAATGGAGGAACAAATTAAAGAAGGTTGTAAAAGTTTTTAGAGTATTCATTTAAAATTAAAATTTAAAAAAATTATTTATTACCATTAATATTATATTATAAAAAGGAACAAGGCTTGGTTAATTTTATATAATTTGATCATCGCACTCAATTTTAATTGATGAATTTGCTGATGATTGAAAAGTTTATTCACGTAATATATTATTTTATTCGTCTTATTTATTTATTTTTTTTTATTTTGATGTTCAACAAAAGATATACATTGTTATTATTGTACAATTATCGGAGGTGAATCAATTTAAAAATGATCTTGGAGAACCATTCAAAATATGATTGCTTTGTCATGGTGCTGATGAGCCATGGTGGGCAAGATTTTATCTATGGAGTTGACGACAAGACCCTCTCTTGCCCTTAAGCGAAAATAAATGCAAAACTTTGATTGGCAAGTCAAAACTTTTCTTCATCCAGGTTTGGTTTGTTTTAAACTTTACTAATTGACATTCAACATGTCACATTCATTTTTTTAGGTTCCTGAATTTGTTGTTTGATATTCGTTCTTATAAGACTTACTAAATTTATCTCTTTAAAACACATTTGCTTCATAAATTTTGTACCCCTGCATAAATTATATAACGGAACTCTTTTTTATTTTACGGTATTTTACGTTGTAATAGAGAAATTGTTACAACGTACTTGTTCTTGTTGCGAAGTTGAATTAATAATAAAAGTTAAAGAACGAACCCTTACAGGTGGCCTTTAATAAAAAGAAACAAATCCCTACCTTCATCTCCATGCTCACCAAACGTCTTTATTTCTGTTAGAGCTGAAGAAGGACGTGTGATAACTGGCAATAACTTCATATGCTATTCAGATTAAATTTTTCATCTCTTTCTTAAAATATGGGGAATGACATGGAGCTAGCCCGGATGATCTGAAGAAGTTGCTCAAACGTTGGCTACAAATTTTGCATACAAATTGAAAGCAATGGTTATGCAGAGGATGTAAGTATGTTGATGATACCGCATTTGTGTGATGACACTGACAACGATCAACTGATGATGATGGCGATGATGATGAAAATAAAGAAGATGATGGTGATGAGGACAATGATGATGATAATGATGACGATGGTGATGATGAATGATTTAATGATGATGATAATGAGGACAATGATAATGATGACAGGAAAAGTAATGATAATGATGATTAGGATGAGGTGTGGTGAAGTGGGGTTAGTCTGTTCTATAGTGAATGGTTTTTAATGGAAGGAAAGTTATTGCAGCGTTGACATGTAGTTTGGAGTAATGGAATTCTGAATGTTTTTAATTTTAGTGTTAGCGATGCTGCTCGTACTGATAATGCAATCTTAGCTGATTGGCTTTGCTTAAAAATATTATTTATTATTTTAAGTGTAATTTCAACAGTTTGCAATACGTTCACGTATTAGTCTCTAATGACAAATTAAAAATTGTGATTACTATAAGAATGTTCATTTTTCCAACATGCAGGTTGCACGCTGTACAAAGACAGAACCAACCTACCAGTTGAGATCAGTGTCTGTCTCCTGGCTGGGCTCGTCCTCGTTGTCGTTGTTCTCTACGCCAGAGTATATGCCGAGGTGGTTACTTATAAATTTATAATTAATTTATAATTTATTTACAACTAACTTATAGTTATAATGCTGATGATGCTGTTGATGAATAGGACGATGTTTCACTCACCCGCTCATTCCTTCATCCCACCTACCCACTCACTCGTTCAACTGACAGGTAGTCTTATGTAGGAAGCGTAGCTTTATGCTCTCAAAATTTTCGACCAAAAGTTCTGACTCAGGCAAAATAATGACATCATCGTCGTCATTTCAAAAACAACAACAACAACAACTTCAAATGAACGTGGACAATCCTGACAAGGCACCCAATGAAGTAGTTTGTAGCAACGACAGCAAAAGAGTTTTCAACAAAAAAGAATTCATAGGACTTCCAAAACGACAAAAAAAATTCTCGGCGGGACAGCAAGTTCAGTTTTAACTGACGAAGCATCTACCTCAGCGCCACTACGAAGCCTCGTCAGAAAGCAACTACAAAGCGTTCCTCACCACCTTGATTCTCGCAGGAGCTCTCCTCCTCTTCGGCTGCCCTACCTCATCATCAGCTCCATCAACACCAACTACGCCACAGAATTTTTATTCAAATTGAAATTTTTCGTCTTCGACATCCTGCCCATGTTGACGTACTTGAGTGACCCAATCATATACGGCGTTCGTATCAGGAGCGTGCGCCTCAGCTACAGGAGAGTGTATGGACCAGTTATGATGAAAATATGCTGTGGGTGGAGATTGTTCTGCTGCTGCAACAAAAAAGACGGCAGAAGAAAATACGTCTCCCCTAAAAACGAACTCAATATGGTAAACGCTAACGAAATGGCGAGAAATGGGAATGAAATAAGCCTGAGGATGACCAGCATGCAAGATCTCAGTGCTGGCCAGTGAAGTTCAAGGCGGTACAATCCTTGTCCATCGCATTTTTAATGGGATAATAGTGTAAATACAAATTCGATTTCATCTCTACATACCTTGGCATGCATATTACATGTACTAATTGTGTGCAGTTTTATATCATTGTTTTTTTGTTACTTATTACCAACACATTCTTTCATGTTTAACATTAGTGGTAAAACATTTGTGACCCTAAGTTAAACATATGCAGTTAGTGTATAATTTGGTGTTTGAAACATTAGCATCAATTACATAATGAAATTATTATTAATATTAATGTTTTGTTATTAAGTGGTATAATTATGTAATATAAACATATATACATTCAATTGTAAATATAAAAATATAAAGAATATAATCCAAATTTGTCCTAAATGGTTTACGAGCTAGAGGTTTTACAAAAAAAAACCCGACAGAAAAAACAAATGTATATTTACAATAATTAAATAAAGCAACAAAATTCAACTGTGTGTTAAAATGATTTATTCAGCTTTCAAAATCCCTCCCAGCAGCAGTTCAAAAAAAATATTTGTTGAGTAAACTTTATGTTCCTAGCCATTTTAACTAGTTTCAATTAGGTTTTCGCATATAAAACAAAGTAAAATTAATTTTAAATTACCTGCAGTGAGTGCTGGGATCGGAAGAAATAGGATTCTAACTACGGCCTCTCAAAAAAATTCAGACTTCGACTCCTGAAAAAATCCCAGACTTCGACCGGCTCCGACAATGCTTTTTGGAATATTTCACAAATCGCATTACTAAGTTTGAACTTCCTACTAACTAAAGTTTTATTTCTTTAGTTTTCTATTGTGGGATAATATATCAAGAAGATTCTTTGTTTTTTTTGTTTCACCAAAACGGAATCTTCCTAATTGTTATTCAAAGTTTTAAGATATTTTAATAAGTTTTTTGAAAATTTTGTGTCAAAATTTTTAATCTTGAATAGCAAAATCTAGCACCGTATTCTGTTTTTTATTCAAGCCAAGTAAAATTAATTAAATTTAAAAAATATTTTTGCATTTAAACAATTTTTATAGATTATGACATTTGCGTTTCACACTTCTTGGTTTTATTGTATAAAAGAAATTATGGGGCATTTTACTTTCATTTGTACCACATTTTCTTCTCACAACAAAACTGTGAAAATAAAAAGAGCATTAAACTTTATGCCTTAGTGTTTGGTAGAGCAATGATGTAATTGCGCCTGGTCATGTGACTGGGTTCGATTTTTGGGCAGCGGTTGAAAGAGCTTGGTCCTGTTTGGCAGTGCGTGCAGTGACCAGGTTCGAATATGATAAAAGATGCCCGCCATCGTAGGCTGTGTGTGTGATACGTCGTTTAGCTCGTATTCATATGCTTTATGGTGTTTGTATGTTGTTGATTCCCTTTGGAGTGTATGTATCTTAAACATTTTTTTTAATACGATGAGGTTCACTCTCATCACATACAATGTGCCAATGCTTTATTCTAACGTAATGAAATGAAATGTATACGTTGCTGCTGTTTTTGAATATCTAATTAGTTGAAAATTTTAAAATAAAAATTTCAAATACAAATTTGAGTGTAAAATTATTTTTTTTCAATCCACACACATACAATGGTTATAACCTTGAGTAACAACCATGAAAAAAAGTAAACACTATCAAAAGGCTTTCACATTACTCGAATTAAAGCAGGTAGCTTACTAAGCAGCTGAAAAAGCTACTTAGTAAGCTGCTTACTGAAAGCAAGCATTAATGGCCAGCAGCTTAATGGACGAAAGCAATAATAATATATGCAAAAAAAGCGACTTGTGGTTTTATCGGATTATTTCACTGATACATTAATACAAGTCCGTAATCATGCCAACAAAGGATAAACCTTTATTTTGATCGCTAGAGTGCAAGCGAAATAATATCTAAAAAATAAAAAACAAATAAATAAATATAATATTTTTTAAATGTATAAGCTATGTCTTCAATACTACAAATCGGACTAAATTAGTCGAGACAAATAAACAATTTAAAAAAACACCATAAAGTAACTTAGCACAGGGCTATCTAATTAGCTGAAAAATATTTCGGTTCATACTAACCTGGCACAGTTGATACCGTGATCACGAAGGCGGTGCTTCCAGGACGAGGTCCGATCATTGCACTGAGGTCGGATTGACTTCTGCGATTACTCCAAATGTGGGTAACTCGGGTGCATATTTTCTGAGTGTGAGGAACTGCGTTCGCGCTTTTCCTCTAATCTTTTACACAAATATAAACTTTTATGTTTGTTGGATTGATGTTTGGATTACGATTGCTAGTTTGAATTTCTAAACATGTCGGCTGACTGAAGAACTTTTGATTGACTATGTTGCTGTGTGATGATTGTTCAAATAAGGATTTAGTTAAAAGAAGAATGTGTTTTGTGTCTGTTTATATGTAATATCCGGATGGTAGTGTTTCAAGTTAATTACCTCATATTAACATTTAAAAACACATCTAAACGCACTTATACATTGAACGTCGTGCAGAATGAAATGAACATTTAGTTGACATATTTACAAACATAGCATTCAAATGTCACTTTGTTAAAAATATATAATCAAATTGAATTTATTACTATTGTCGTTATAAGCAGAACATAGTTTACTGTTGTTAGTGTTAATTTAGAAATTTTTAAATTGTACAAAATATATTATCAAAAATTAAATTTTTTACTATAAAAATTTACAAAAATCTGCCAACGACACCAAAAGTCATTTTGGTCTTTTTCGACAAATTCACATAAAATTATTAAATTAATATTTTACATAAAACTTATCTATCAATCCGCAACATTGAGAGACTAATACGTGAACGTATTGCAAAATTTTTAAACTTTTGAAATTACACGTAAAATTATAAATAATATTTTTAAGCAAAGCCAATAAGCTAAGATTTAATTATCCACACGAGAAGCATCGCTAACACTTGAATAAATTCTTTAAAATAAGTCTTTAAAGTAATTTAGAATTGACATTTATTTTTGAAACAAAAACAGTCTTCCACAAGAACTTAAATTATTGACAGCATAAAATAAACTTATAAAAAATAATTGCTATATATACAGATAACATTTTAAATGATACCTCTGGTAACTGTAAAAAAAACATATTAATCATAAGAAACGTTGACAAACTAAGACAATCCACATGTTAACAAAATGTTATGTAAGTCCTCAAACAAATAATACATTATTGTTACCAATTTTTACATATTAATTCTCAAAGCTATCGGCAACATTCCAACAGCCAGCTTGCACTTGAATACGCCTGGACATCAAATGAAGTACATCGCCAACAAAAACATACGACACGTATTAGACTTGATTCAAAACCGATTGTGCGAACTAACGGAAGAGTAAGGAGTAATCATTCTTATCATCTTTTTCCTCATCTTCATCATCATAACTTTTCATCATTACTTTACTTTTCACAAAATTATTAAATTCTTTTTCATCGCTGATTCTCGTAACCTGGGATGATTAGGGGTCTGCGTTCCGGCCGAGTTTGATTGCAAGCTCAAAATTCCGTCAGAATTATCCAGACATTTTGGAATTATAGTAAAAAACTATGATCAAACGCGATCAAATTCGGAATCCGAGGGAAATTTTCAAGGTATTTATGTATTTTTCGTAGTGTTATAATAAATCACTAGCTTGAAAATCTCTATCAAATAATGAATAAACCAGTGACTAGGACCTTGTGTATTGTACTAAATCAAGAATGATAATTGTGAATGGAGAAAAATGGGAAAAACGACATATACACGCACAAATTTGAAAAAAAATAAATTCAAACAAAATGTCAGTTATATATGCAACTGAACACGTGTCCGTGTGCGTTAGCAGAGAAAATATCCACGTGCAAGCAATGGAGCTATGAAGAAATTTCACATTATTTAAATATATACACATAAATATGTCTTTGAAATTAAAATTGTTGTTACAAATCTTTTCACATTGATACATTTATCCATCCTTAAAATTATATAAGCATGTATATATACAAGGAGGTTAACAAAGAAGATAACCACGTGCAAGCAACAGAGTTATAAAGATAATTCGTACAAACAATGTATATTGTATATCATGAGGTCAACACACGCACACACACACACACATACTTACGGTAATTAGAAATTCACATAGTATAAAAAGAAATAAAATGTATAAAAATGTTTTTAATTGTTATGATTGTAATTTACTCTTTTGTAAAAGTTTGGTTTTCTGTTTGATTTTATTGTTTTTTAAATTTTTATGGCTAAATGTTTATAAATTTCTTGTAAATTACCTAAAAAAATTTAGTTACACGCATGAGCTAGAACAATTAAAAGAGGAGCTGACAAAGCAGTATCTGTTTGCGGTGATGATGATAGTTTTAGTTATGATACTGATACTATCAGTTGCGATAATGATAATTTTAGTTATCGTAATAAAGAAATATGTGAAAAAATTATGATAGTGAGAGTTGATAATGACAAGGGAATAGAAACAAAGCAGTAATTGCGAATGAATTTGCATGAGCTTATAATTAAACGTCATGAAGTTAGTAAACTGCAAGGATATATATATTAACTGTTAATTTAATGTTGTTGTTTTATTAACTTTTAGAGCTTTTCGATTTTCATTTTGTTTGGTACATGTTCTTAATATTTACTTTTTGTAAAAATTTTTTTAGGTGTTCGAAAAAATGCAAAATGGAAAAAAAGAAATAGAAGGAAAACGCGTAAATGAGTTAAGCAAAAGGGAAATGGGAGTTTTCGGAAACGTTGTCATGAATGGGAATTCGGGAGGGAATCGGGAATGACAAACAAAAATGGGAGGGAATTGGGAACAAATAAACAATTCAATAATTATGTCACGGTTTTTATACCATTTTTAACCCTTCCATCCCCTCTCTGTCACGCTCAGCTGACCCCCCAAGTTCACGACCTGTAATCTATTGTTAATAGATTATAAAGATAACATCACGACATAAGTAC